GAGAGGAAGCTTACTTATACTTGGAGATTTCTTTTCATTACATTTTTTCCTAATGACTGGTAACAGCTGGAGAAGATAGCCAAAATGATGATAGACTGCAGGCGAGCAGAATGGAGCATTTGGTTTGTCAAGCATTTGGCATTCATCTACTTTTCAAGCAAAACTGTCCAAACTTGGTGCAATTTGTGTTTTAGCTTCAAGGATTTTAACAGCTGGTGTCACATTCATAATGTAAATATTCTTTATGCTACGTCGAAATATGTTCAGACTTGTTCAGCAGGTCTCCGTGGTGGTACTAATTAAGTTTTTATGACTTCCACGGTTTGTCATTGAACTGACCCAGAGCTGAAGTGCTACAGTGAAGCCCACGTCTGACAGTTAAGCCCTTAACCTCAGAGGCTCAGCCAACCTGACTTTTATTTTCCACAGCTGATTAAAAGACATTTACAGCTCGGCTCCTTTTGCCAGCTGACTGCAGCTTGGTACTGGAGAAATTTGTTTTATCTCCTCCTGTCTCAGCTGGGGCCCCTGCTGTGCTGGTGAATGCAGCTGAAATACAAAGCATCTAAGAGAGATGTCAAGCAAAACTCTGACAGTTCAAGCAAAAGCAGGATCCCTGCATGCAAACTCTCTTCAACCATCCTTTTCCTGACCCATCATTTTACTCACAGCACGACAGATTTACAGACAGATTAAAAAATCATGTGATTCTACTGTTAGCAGGAACACATGTCTGTATTATGTGAAGTTGGTAAAATATCATAATGTGGATGCGGTTAAGCTGTAATTGTAAAACCCCAGGCTGCTGTACAATGATTTGTGAAAGTTTAATCTTTAAGTAGACCCGCTGATCAGATATTAAAGCTAAAGAGCTTGGAGTGATATTTTCATGTGCAAATCTTGTGTGGCATTGCCTTATCCACAGTATTCTGGAGCATGTAGAAGAATTAAATCATCCCCTTCTAAAAACTCTCCAAAGTAGGACTACACAACCCACATACTGCGCTTAGAGGAAAAAAAAAGGAAGCAAAAAGAGGAGGAAGACGCTGACTTTTTAATATACTGCAGAAGCTCGGTGTATGGAGGTGCAGATATCAGAGCTGTTGCCACTTTGGGTTCTACACCAACTTGCTGCTATTCTTACACATAGTAGAAAGTAGAAGCCTGGATGGTTAGGTTGTTTTACTAATTACTGAAAATCACAATGTAAAGATCGGTTTTAAGGTTTTTATCGTGTTTTCATTTATTAAACTTATCCTAAAGTCCACCTACGAGCTATCGCAGTTTTGCTTGTTGGCATATAGCGTTTGCTCAGTTGTTATTGTCAAGGTCGTGATGACAAAAGAGCTGTTTCCATGACAACCAAGTGAAATCCATCTGCTGAGGAAGACTTAGATTTGCGGTTTAAAAATCCCTGGATAAAGCCACAAAGTGGAAAGTATGTCAAAGTGTGTCAGATTTTGGACCCTGCTTCCAAAATCGAGGAAAACACTTTCGCCTTTGATGTAAAGGTACTTACACCTTCTGTTCCCTGACTTAAAGGATGTGCCGTGCATGATGTTGCATTGCCATCTAAAGTTCTTTGAGGACCTTTGTGCTTACAAGTAATATTTTTATGTTAAAAATGGATCCCATCACAGACTGGCTGTGAAAAAGGAAACTCTCAGTGAGAAGCCTCTCTAGCTACAAGCATTTTCAGCAGGAAGCTTTCCAGTTCAAAAAATCAATACGTAATATGGCAAAGTTAGTGACTATAATGAATATTGTAGAGCCTTTAAAAAGACATGGTAAGTTAATAATGTGACCATGTTATAACTGGTTTAAATTTTTTAGTTATTTACTCATCTTTTCCAGGATGCATTTTCTTGTAGCTGAGTCAAAGAGTAACTGTTAAATAATTGACATTATAACTGTGTAAGCATGAATCAAATATAAAGATAAATATTTAAATGTGCGGTTATTTTGTAAATGATTAGAACCAATCGGCGTGGTTATATCCTCGGGAATCACTCTCATAATCTTCTTCCCGTGTCTTTATTTCTTTCTATATCTCCTCTCACTCTCCCGACCCCACCATTCATCCTATCTGACCTGTGAACCTCTGTGGAAAGGATGTCACTCCCAGTGGACTGACACAGCTGAAGATAGCACACGCACAAACACCAGGAAATCCTCAGCTCTGTTTTATTTATTCAAGCCTCCCACTCATTTCTCTGCAAAAGATAAGTGCAGGGAATGAGGGATTGAAGATGAAATTTTCCCCCCATAGCATTACACACATCAAAGCTTAAAAACACAATTATCATTAACATCTGACCTTGCACATTCCCCAGCATGAATTTTAAACAAGCTTCCTCTTTACCCAGGCCTAAATGACCCCTAAATACCTTGCAAAATTATTCATCACGGTGTCATATAACAGTTGCCTCAAGCTTAAATATAGGATGGGTTCCTTGTGCTGATTTTGTCAGAATATTTGTCATAACTGTCGAATTCTTCAGCTGCGTGTCAGGCAGAACCAAATGGGGGGGCATTCATATCGACCAGTCAGAACAGAAAAAAATAGTTTAAAGAATACCTTATTTGTATTAATATTCATGTGTCTGTGAGGATATTTTCATGGTGTGGGATTAAGGCTTAAGAAATACCAATAGCAGTAGATAAAATAAGTGCATCCACGCCAATACCAGCACCTTGGTGACAGGTTGACATTTTCCATGTTTTGACAGAAAGAAGCAAATCCCATCTAACTGAGGGATGCTTGTCAGCCGTCTAACCATCAAACCGATGTCAGGAGAAAATTGCTTACCAGCCATAGTCTGCTCTTCCTCCAGTAGCACAAGCACATCTGCAGATATAGGCACAAGCCATTTACTCAGCTTGTGTATTGTAGATCAAAAAAGCAAACGCACAATGCACGGTTGAAAGATGTCAACTAATGACAACAGCTCAACAGTGGATTTGAAGCTCCCAGACCTTTGCTAAAAGACTAAATTGATGATCCTGGCTACCTAGAGCTGTAGTCTTCTGCTGGCTGGCTTCTCTCAGCTTAGTGGATGATACATTAGATCAGTCATGCATGCATGCATGGAGAAAGAAATAGATGAAGAGAAGGTGACGAGAACGATATATCCTCAGCCAGTTATACTAAAAGGATGCTGAATCCGCAGGGGGTCCATACTTACATCTGGTTGAACTGTTGTACTGTTTTCTGATTTCAAATGGCATGCACAGGAAAACGTCATGGATTATTCCCTAGTCCCCTTCATATCTATTATTTCCAAAGCAATGAAAGCATCACATATCACTTTATTTTCCCAGGAAAGGGGCTTACAAGGATTAAAAAGGCATAAAGCAAGACTGGTTAAAAAAAACACTGCAGAAATACATATGGGTTTAAAGGAGATGCACAATATATTAAAATGAAAAATAATCTCTAATTTATTAGGATTTCTTGTATCCAGAAAAGAAACCCAGTAAATAAACTCATATTATGTCAAAAGAAATGAAACAGTGACACTGTGTGGTTGTAAAGAGGAACTATACTGGAAGAAAGTAATTCACTCAATTATAAATCACATCTTTTAATTTACTTGAGATATACTGAAAAAGTATTATCCTCATAGTAAAGTCAGCCATTAGTCATTTTTGCATATGCGTAAAGTGATAAGGTAAGGTGTAAACTGGAATTAACTGCTGTATTGATGGCCAAGTAGGGATATGCTGAATGTGAAATTCTGGGCCCCTATTAGTGTTTTCTTCTGTATTTAGTTTTGTCTTGTATAAATATTGTTTAAATTTAAATCTTTTATCACCTAAAACCGGTGCTCTTTCAATATAGTTGTGAGTTTCTAGCTGAGAAAATGTTGTCTAATGTTTTGTAAATATGGATAACAAACAATCGGGCATGAAAATAACTAATAGGTCGTGTGCCTAAACTGATTAGTCTTAATAACAATAATAATTTATGAGTCATTGCTAACAAATTTAGAATAACAACAATATTTAACAATATTTAGAATAATCAGTAATATCAATAACAGGGGCATAATTTCCAGGGGGGTTAGGGGGGTTATGACCCCCCTAACCCCCCCAATAATCAGACCTAGCCAATATAACCCCCTCCGCAATAAAATTATGAATTATCTTGCATAAATAAGATGGTGATTTTGATTTTCTTTACTCATTTCAGGTATTACCAGCAAAATAGTTGCATGTTTAATCATCTGGGAATTTACCCAGATTTATTTATTTATTTATTTAAATAAACACACACACAATGTTCAGCAAAAAGTTACGTTGATGATCAATAACAATCAATAATATCTGGTGACATTGTTAGTGTGTGTATCTTGCCTGATCCAGGCAAGATTCCTAGTGATTTTTTTAACATAGGACAGCCTGTTTTTTAGGTGCATGTAGTTCATATTTAAATCATTAGTCGTTTATTAATGAACTCTTAGTACAATCACTGTTTTGACTCATCGGGCGCTTAAAATTGGAAAGGTCTTAGTGAATATTCTGCAAATGTACTCTCATTTTAATGCTGATACAAGATACACACATACACGTTTCATGTTTTTTTATTATTATAAGTTACACTGATAATTTTGTATAAATGGCAAGAGAAAAAGATGTGCATTCACTTGGGAGGTAGAAACAGTTTACCAATATGCCACAGGTTCAGGTGTAACACAATATGCTGATACAGAATATGAGCTGTCAAATCAACTGTTGAGGGGTGTGTCGGCAGATCCAGTCACAAACTATTAGTGCAGAACTAAGAAACACTTAAATAATTGCTTAAATTATGGTTGAGCTCACAAGTTATGGGTCACTTATTTTGGAAATATGGCCTTTTATAGGGCATTGATAATTTTAAACTCTCATCGTGGTGAGTCAGTTTGACAACATGTGAGCATTTATTTTGTCCCAAAGTCTTACAAAAATTCACTTTTCTCTGAGTATAACCAGCATCAACATATCAGTCTTGGTTTGTTTTATAAATGTGGATTAAAGTAAGACGGCTGGACGAATCCGCTGGACATGAAGGGATGCAGGAGCCCTCCAGTGGTTGAAAGCGGAACACCACCCGCTGCGTGGAAGATCACATTTCCAGAGGTGAAGTTGGAGAAAGTTTGGTGGAAGCTGGCAGAGCTCGACCCACACGTGGCTGGGTTCGGACTAACATTAATAAGGGAGTTAGAGCCGGGCTGCAAGGTGCTGTCCGCCCCGGGGTTCTGCTTTTTCCACTTGGTCCTCCGGTTCTGGAACCAGATTTTCACCTGGGTTTCGGTCAGACTTAGTGACAAGGCCAGGTTTAGTCTCTCGCACACAGACAAGTACCGAGTTGCGCGGAACTTGTTTTCCAGGGCCACAAGCTGTTCGTAAGTGAACGCTGTTCTGGCTCGCCGTGGTTTGGCACAGGCCTGGTCCGGGCGCCGGCGCTTGTGCGTTGATTGGTCCTGCAAGGTGACCGCTGACTCCCCGTCTCCACTGTCCTGTTGCCCGGTCAGACAGGGCTCCGTGTCCGCAGGTGGGGAGAGAAGATTGGGGTCTACAACAACTTCGGGATGCCTGGAGAGTGCAGATTGTTCATCTCTTGCATCTTCTGTGATAAAAAAAAGAAAAAGAAAAGTCAGTTCTCATCCTGAAAGTCGCAGCAGCAAACCCATGTGGAGAATTGGCCAATTTTAATATTATTTATTTTCCTCTAAAACTGAGTTGAGCTGCAGTTGTGAGGTGTTAGTTGACAAAGTATGAGAAGAAACCGGAGTTTTCCTTGCTCGGGCAAAATTAGGTGACTAATTTTTGAGGTGATTCGCAAGACTGAGCTGTGTTTTTAAAGAGGTTCTTTATTTGATTTTAGAGGAAAACGGTGACATTTAAGTGAGTCTGTTATTTAAACAATTGGGACCAAACGCCAAGGAGTGAATTTAACTGCGTGGTGCTGAAGGACAGTTCCTGGCAGGACAGACATCACTTGTAACCTGATTAGGAAATGCGTGTTCCTTGTGGAGTGATTTTCCTCTTTGTTCCGTGTGAACTGCAGTTTACCAAACATAGAAGGCCTAGGAGTTGACATCTGTAAAGCGTTTGATTAGGATCCTGGGGTCGCTGGAGCGGAACAAAGCATAGATTCTGAGGAGAGGAAGATTTGGTCACTAATCCTTAAATAATTTATAAACCACACAGAGCCTCAAATGTCATGTTGCGGAAAGAAATCCCGTCTAAATCCAGCTTCGCCACCTCAGCCATGACGTGCTAATGGAGTTTCATATTTGCGGGTGGATCAATAAATGTCATCTATTTAAAGGGAAGTTTTAATCGAACGATATTTAGGATCAGACATGGATGGGGTGTGAAGTTTGTACCTGCAAGGTGCTGGAGGGAGATATGCAGGATGCAGTAATGGGATATCGATCAAAGCGCGCAGAGGCATCCTCAATGGGACGATTTAAACAATTATCTAGCCTGCCTGTCCCAATGCCAATCACATACTGGGGCTCTGGGAGCAAGCCTTTGTGGCTTCCTTGAAAGGAAACGCAGCCTTGGAAATTAAGGGAAGGTCATACAGAGATGACAATAAATCTGAGAGATAGCGCCTCACTTTCTGCTATTTGGTCTCGGCTCAGGGAAAATAAAACTTTTCAAGTATTTCAAATATTTAACTTTTTTATACGTCCTCATTTTACAGTGTTTAGACGTCTCATTTAGGTATTCAGTTGTAAATATGCACAAGATATGCCTGTGTGTTTTAAGGTAATTTACAGATCCAAGCACACAAACAATAATATATTTAATGAAAAGATTAGAGCCAAGCTATGAGGTGTGTTTTAAAATAATACAATTGAGGCGTTTTCTCTACCTGCTTCTGTGCGCTCGAGTCTGGAGTCTCCACCTGCAGTGCTGTCCGACTCCAAAGTTGTTCTCTCCGCGTTTGGCGCAGGTAACAACTTCTCCTTGATGATGGAAAGTTCATTTACCTTCTTACTGTTGAATTTGTTCGGATCCAATATGTCAACTATAGAAAAGGAAATCTTATGACTGGACGTCATTGTCACTTCTTCAGCTGAGGCATCCTTTACGCAGAAAGACTCTTGGAGATAGATGTGCTGATGTGCTCGATTACGCGCCCGGAGAGAAACTTCTCATAGCTTAGTCTGCTCCTTGTTTTCAAACTTCATCAGACCGGATTCTGTGGCGGTGATCACCTCTTAGTGTTGTGTTCACTCCTCTGCTTCAGTCTGTCAGTCTCGGAGCGTGACCGGAGCGCAGTCTTTAAAGCGTCTATCCCCCCACCCGTCTCCAAACCAGACACGTGACACAAACACTATTAGCGTTTCACACGACCCCCTAATGGGCTCAAAGTATTCGCCGATAATCACCCATATCATTAAATTCCGCAATTCGCGACCTGAAAGTAAATTGTGCACAGATGGCAGTTGATCCATATCAGAGATCGCCCCGTCTCCCCAAATTGGACCCTCTCTCTCGCTCTCCCTGTTTTTTGTAGACATCACGAGGACGGGGACTTTCGTATATCTTTTAGCAGAAATCAGGGGTTTTCAGAGTCTGCCTGTAAACAGATAGCTGTTTATTTGCTGCCACTGAAATTGTAGGCTTGTAAAGTAGCCAGATTATATTTAGATGTTGACTAAATATTTAGGAGTACACTGATAATGATTATTTACAAGTATGATGACAATATTGTCACTTCTAACACGTTAGATTTGGCTTAAAATATTGCAAAAAAAAAAAAAAGCATCTCTGATGGCAGTTTAAACCCTTCCCTCCAGAATGTTTGCCTATTTATAATGCCAGCCTTCTGATATAACTCTTTTATCTTATCTGTCACGAAATTAGACTTAGTAGCCTTAGTCTCAGTATTTTTAAGAGCCCTGTACATTAGATTCCTGTGGACTGCAAGAGATGTATACATTTTAAGGGTAGAAGATAAAGCCCCAAATGACAAAGTCTGTTCTTTATTGATAATTGAAGATGTAAAATTTACTCACATACTAGAGGAAATTAAACAAAGACATAGGAATTCATGAGGATTCACTCATCTATATGCTACATTCAAAGCTAAATTGCAGGCACGGTATAAATGCAGCTGATTGTTTTCTCACCTCGTGCAATCGATTTATATTCACAGTCAATCGGATCCATAGTGCTTGCAATTAGTATTCAATAAAAAGTGACACGAGGTTGTTTGGAGCTTCATGCCTGCTGATGGCTAAAATGGTGAAACCAGCACCGGATCAATATTCTCAGCAGGTGTCCAATACAGATAAAACCTGATGGGTAACAGGCAGTTATTTTGGATACTGGGAAGCTAAACTAGTAAGTGAAACTGCACAGATCATCTTGCTCCAAACTTCTTTCAATCTTAGAATGATCTAAATTATTCTTAATACTTTATTTTGAGTTAATCCCTGCTCTTTTTCATGTTTTACTAGAAATAGACTTAAGAGGCATTGCAAAAATGTACTTGTGTAATAAAATTGTAATGTAAATTTTACTATCTAAGCCTGTGAGGTCCTTATGTTGTGAGTATGAGACAGAAGGCAGACAAGCAATATCTCTGTAATACAGGCTACCAGTGCTGTAATGATTGTTAATGTCTTTGTTCTTTATTCTTTTGCAAAGTACCTCTTAATAGTGGTTTTGAAAGGTGCCATATAATTAAAAAAATTACTTACTTTCTTGCTCATGGGGGATCTACACGTGTTTGCACACTGTTAAAGGCCCCCCTACACAGTTTCCTGTGTTACTTACACAGGTCAAGATGATTACTGTGTTACATGGGAGTTTTATTACTTTCCAGTCATAGCCTTCTGGACTGGCACAGTCTGTAGTTACATAGTCAAACATTTGTTGAAGCCACCACTACAGGGTGTCCGCATGTCAGCATTTACATGTGTATGGCACCTTGCACGGCCATTACTGTAGTCCCTCCATATGAATAGAGCCCAGTGCACATTGGAGGTTTACAACTTCCTACATGAAAGCCCAGTGGCTGGACATCTGTTTGACTGGGACAAAAGGGACGAGCCTCGAGGACAAAGAGGCCCTCAGGTAGACTTCAGTGAGCGGGAACAGCAGCTGGTTCAGCTCCGAGTCTGTACGGGCCAGAAGGAGACTTCAAAGAGGAGGAGAATTCCTTGTCAAACACAGTGGGGAGCCAAAGAGACACACTTCCAGCCAAGACCCCCCTCCAGGGTCAGTAAAGTCGTCACTTCACAGGGAGGCTGCCCCCAGTCTGCTAAACATCAGATAATTTGTCTTAATGGCAGGAGCAACATTATGAGCTCCAGTTCTACTCACACACTGTAGTGTCTATTGTTTTCTCAAAAGTCCACAGTCTCCCCAAATCTCCTGTAAAGTGGGACTCAAACAAAGGCTCAGCAAGTGTCTGGTTAACCTTTAAGGGCCCAGTATATCCTCTGCACCAGCTGCCAAAACCTTTTAAGACATATTACTGAAGAATATAGTCATGGGCTCTCATGCTTTAGCACTCATGTTAATGTTGAGGGAGACAGTGGAAAGATGACAGGAAAAGAGTGTGGAAGAGTAAATGAGAACGATCAGGAAAAAAAAATGAAATTAAAAAAAAGAAAGGAAACTAACACATGTGAAATTAAGAACATGAAAATTTGATTTGATATCTGTTAAATATAATATTGTTACAAGTTTTTGTTACCATTCTTATGTTGACATTTAGCAAAATTCTACATTGTGCTTCTAAGTGCAGCTTCAAAAAGCTGTTAGCATAGAAACAGCAAAGAAAAGAGGTTGAATGCTCTTCTTCGTTGTTTCATTCCAGTCTTTCTGACATATAACCTTTCAGTTATATTTGTAACTTACTTTTGATGTTGAGCTTGTTTAGGCATCTTATTCCCACATCATGTAGGCCTTTTCTGAACTGAATTATTAAAGAGGATTCTTTCAAATCAACATTAATGGGATTTCACATTTTATGAATGTTAACACAAAGGCTTTTCAGTGACTCTGTTTAACATTTTAGAGTAAAAAAGCACTCACCTTCTCAGGAGCCACTTAGTACAGTTGAGTGCAATCACCATTTATATAAGATTTTTGAGTAAATCAAGTTTTTATAGTGCGTAGTGTTTCACTGAAATAACAACAATGACTCAGGTGAACTTAAAAAAGTCTAATTTGATCCTTTAAAACCAACATAGTAGAGTGAGGTTTCATTGTTTTGGTTGTAAACTAAACTACACTGACCAAACTGGAAGTTTTGTCTCTTGAATTAAGCACCCAATGGTCTGACAGTTTTATAAATAACAAAAAGTGTAAGAAGTCAACAGCTCTGAAACATAAAGAAAACCTGCCTGCTGTCAATCAATTTTTGAGTGCATTTAACATGGACATTAGTAGTTTTAATCATTTTTCTGGAGTTATCTCAAAGCATTCACTGTGTTTGCAGGCCATTGGCACTAATGTGTGCCAGTGTAGCTCAATACAGTATAATATTCCTAAATGGGCATAAAACTTTTTCACCTTTTTTTGCCAGCTCTTCTGTGTTCACCACATGCCTGTGGATGCTACAACCAGCCAGGCCTTCTTTCAGTTAGCCCTCTGTGTTTGTGTGACTCTCTGACAACAAGGTCAGTGGCATTGCCCAGTAATTGTCCTAACGGCCTGTATACCTGTTGGGTGGAGGCGAGTAATGAGAGTTTTTCATTACAGGCGGGACGGGTGAGTGCGCCTGGCAGATGCTGACAGGCAGCAGATGTGTAAAGTTGGGGGTGATTTGTAAAGGGGTCAACTGCCTCGCAGAGGAGATGGAGGGCGATGTGGGATGGGGGTAAATTATGCTGAGGGACACTGTCAGTCATACCACTGTCACAACAAGGTAAAGGTCAGTTCATACATTGGTGTTGTCAGCTAGCGTCACAGAATAGTGTAGTCGGGTCAGGAAAGTGTGTAAACTTTGTACCAAATAATGACTGGAGGGTGTAGTTGAAAGGGTAGCCATTTTACCCGAGACTTGTTTTATCCACAGTCATGGAAAAACTGCCCTGAGTTAGATTTATGTGTGTTTTCTATTAGTTAGTTTTTGTGGGTTTTTTGGATGCACAAAGCTAAACGGGCCTGTTTCTGTATGAATACCCAGTGTTTGATGTTTCATGTACCTACGCTACAAGCATCTGGTGTACTATAATGGTCAGAAACTGAGCACAAAAAGGTGTAGCTTAACTTGAATGGATGGAGACTGATCACCATCGCCGGCCCAACAGGGGACTGAGAGACACTGAGAGCATTACGGTCCTCACCATATCTGTGGCCCTTTTGTGTTTTTAGTTTTCCCTTTCCTCCTGTCTTCCATGTTTCTCTGCCTCTTTCTTCAACTTTAGTGTTAGTCCTAATGTTGCAGGTTAGTTATTTGTCTTTTGGTTACTTCTTATTTTACTTTGAAAGGTTGGTTTTCACATGTGTCTTGTGATTTTACTTCCTCTGTTTGTTCCTTCTCTTGCTTTTATTCTTTTCTGCCCTACCTCGCTTGTTTCCACTTATGCCTTCTTCCCACCTGTGTCTCACTTACCAGTCAACCGCCTGTGCATATACATATAGTCTTGCATTTCCCTCTGTTTATCATCATATGACCCTGTGCCTGCTCTCTTTGTTTGTTTGTTTTATTTCTGCTGTCACTTTTGCTACAGAATGTGATGAGCAGCCTGTTTTTAAACTGTGTGAGGACACCGGAGCAACCAGAGGAAACCCACAAAGGCACAAAGACATCCACACACAAAGAACCCGTCCAACCTGGAGATTGTAACCATGGACATTGTAAAACATGTGTTTATTTCCTGTTTTTTTTGCCTGTCTTATTTGCTCTGTACAGTGTCCTTGGGTGTTTTTTATTATTATTATAACTCTTAGGTCTGCGAAGCCCATGTGGAAGTACCCTGAAGTGGCATTCTGTTTAAATGTCAGCAGGGGGCGGCTTCTCTAGTTGAAGAAAGTCTACCTGTTCTGCTGAACTTAAAATGCTCCAGCAAATACTTTCCTGGTGAGTTCATGCACTCGTGTTGAATAAAACATGACATTTTGTAAATTATGGTCATTATTTGAGGATTACAGACACTATGCTCACTTACAGACACCTTGTCAATAGCAAATCGTTAGCCAGTGAGCATGGGGTGTTCCCAGTTTCGTGTTCAGATTCACTTCTTGCTCATCATGTCAGCTTTCAAACACCAAAATGATGACAGCGGAAATGTTCAGCTGGAGGCTTCCTTTCATGACTTTGCCAATGGGTGTCATCACGATGGTTACATCGATCGAATACTTGGGACTTAAAAATATTTCCTGTAAAGTAGCAGTGCTGACCACTAGTGTTAGCCTGTTCTCTTCACCGTGGAAGAATTTCATCCCACGTTTGTGTCCAGAGCTTTACAAATTGCAAAGCTTCAGGAAATGCAGAATCTAGCCCACCAATCACAGTGAAAAGCTGCAATCAGCACATAAAAGTGCACATGCAGTGTTCAATTTGAGACAAAATGAATTCATGAATATATCTGAATTTATCTGAACTCGTCCAAGTATCTGAGGACAGATTGTAGAGGAAGGTTTGTGTGCTTTATAGGTATACATTTATCAAAATCATGATTGTGGCTCATGAGAAAGATGAGAGCGATTAGAGCTCTTGATCTCACTTCTATTCTTTAACCTCAGTCACACGGTAACTGGATAACAGCATTAAACACTGATGTCATACTGGTAAAAACACTTAGAAATGAAATACAAACAGCAAAGACTGCTTGGTGTAAATGTGTTACATAGCAGCATTTTGTCATTTGTACAAAGCCAGGTTGGCTTAATTTATTGTCCCTGCTGGACTATAGATTATATGGAGTGCAAATTAGTCTACATAGGTATTTTGGCCAGCATCTCTTGTCCACACAAAAAATGCAATTGCAGTCTAGGGAGGTGAATGTCGTGGTGAGCAGAGGAGAGTGCGCACAATTAGAAAGACCAAGAGGATACAGGGAGAAAGAGCTGCAGCTGCCTGTTTTCCACAAGGCTGAGGCCTGCTAGTAATGGCTCTGGCATCTGCACAGAGCGCACTGTCACTCAACACAAGCATTGATTAGCCATTGTTCTGAGAAGGTCACATCATAATTCATTAACAATAATTAGTC